CTTCAATAAGTTGTGTTGTTATGTTAGAAGTTTTGGACCGAACAAAATCATTCTTTCAACATAAACCTATCCTATGATATGGTATGGTGTGGTTATAGTAGAAAACTCATTCTTATACTGTTTATACATATGTGTAAAACTATTGTGTGTATATGTTTGTTTTGGGGTAGGTTTTGAGTTTACTGCAAACATGTTTTTTTTTATATATATATATTTATATAACTTTCATGTGCTATATATTTATTTCATGAAGGATGCCACATGTTCCCATTCCTGACATGACTTCTTGGTTGTATGTCTCGAGGCTTATATACAATTTAAACAGTAATATTCGTCACACCATGATCAATTTGGTGACAATTACTGTTTAAACAGAAATAAGTGTGTCTGTATATTGTTTTTGCGAGATATCACAAGCGCCGTGAGAGTCTGAATGCTGTACAAGTGCAGTGTGCTAAGCACCGGTCTAATTATAGCAATGACACAATTACGTCGACAACCTGGTTGCCAGTTCCTCGACCTTTGCATAACGACGGTCAATACGTGTTAACTGAAAACCATGGTTACAAAGGAACGGTCCTAGACGGGCGTGAAATGGAACACACACAACGTGAGGGCATGCTAAATAAGGCATTTAGGTCAGCAGTGACGACTCCTGATTGGTTGACAAATTACCTAGCGGAGATTTCTAAAAAACGAGGTAAACGAGGGGGAATAAGTATCGCTGGAAGACAGAGACGTGGTTGGCTATCGTCTGAACGGGCTTATTGTAATCGAAGAAACGAAACAAAACAAGATAGCACACATAATAAAAAATAAACTTTAATCAAAGTAAATGGGTTTTACACGCACAATATTTACAAAATATTTTCCGAAAATAACAATATTTTAATTAGTAAAAAATTCGTTTCGCTAATTACAGAAAATCGGAAATCTGTAATAAGCGAAACAAAGGACTTACACGTACAATATTTACCATTGTCTGTCAAAACTTGATCAGTATAATCACCTTTCAGTCAGTCATGTCCATAACTACATAAAATATTTGCCATAAACATCTAAAGCTTCAGTATATCAAGAACTTAACTCCACACAATAACACACACACACACACACACACATATATATATATACTACCTCCAATGGTCCAATGGAAGCCAGTCAAAGCTCTTCAAAGTACGAACAAGGGGCGAGAATTGTATTAACCCCCTAAGGGTTGCTACCCTTTTTAACTTTTTTAACTCCGAAAATGCCCCCCTAAATTAATATATCGCCCTTTTTAGAATGTACTGATCCAGAAATTAATGAATATTTATGAACACAAAAACTGCCACGTCATGAATAAATTAACATAAATAAAAAAACAAAATGCTTAGTGTACGTACGTCTTCTGAAATTATGCCGACGAATTTTTTAGTTGTTGGTACCAGTGTATTTTTCGTCACTGAATGATTTTTTTGCGTGTGGATTTGTTGTTAGAGTTCGTAGATAATACTTAATCATAAATATATTTCTACGGATCCAGTTTAATTAATACTATTTGTTTTCATGATTGCTTACCGAGCTGGACAGTACTTGACTGTTTGACTTGTATGGCTGACAGGCTGTTTAGTGGAATAACAGTAAACTCGTGGTGTGTGCATAATTAAATCTTCAGTCATTTAGTAAGTGTTGATGCTGTAATTTGCCGAGGGAAATGTCAAACCCGTTGATGCAAAGGTACTGTCAATGAGAGTTTATGCTGGATTATATACTGTTAAGCTGAGTGTTGTTTGGTTCTCCAGCTGAGTGTTGTTCTCTGCCAATTTTCCAGTCACTATACCTATACTCACCTACAGTGGATGCTAGTGTAGAATATGTAATGAATTACAACACCACAACTAGCTGTTAGTGTTGGAATTGGATCTTATGTTGGTCTAATATGAATTAACTACAGGAACTTCAAGGTGTCAGAAACCCAGAGGGAACTAACTTAAGATGAACAACACACTATTATCAGAAATCCGGGAGAAATCCATGTTGACAAATATGTAAGATCACACTAAGCCAAACAATCGAAATACAAGATCTAGGTGGAAAGGAATAGCCAACAGAAATTAATATTATGGTCCCCACATCTTGGCAAGAGGAAAAATGTTGCCAGAATGTGACAGGGTGGTACAGGTGCAGTGACCAAATGTAACATCATACACCATGCATGTTAAACAGGTGATGCAGCTCTTATTAGGAAACATCAAAGAAGGCTACTAAATTCGCAGAGAGGAGACTGGGAAACGGGTAGAAAAAATATTGAAAGCAGGTATCATCCAACCGAGTTGTACTTCCTAGGTATCGCCTATCTTTTGGTGAAGAAAGATATGTTCTTTGTTGTTTATAGAATGCTGACTGATTCAATTCAATGTAACAATTAAAGATACACATCCAATCCCCAAGAATGGATGATTCCCTAGATTGTGTCGAGCTTGCTGGTTTTCAACTTTTAGCAAGTGGATACAACAAATAAAGCTGCCGTTGTTACTGATAGTGCTCTATATAGCTAGAAGTTAATAGCATTTGGTACTTGTAATGCAACTTCTATGGTATGTAATGGTTAGATTGCAGTGGGAAATATTTTTTGTTATATTTAGATAGTAATATTGTTTATGGTAAAGGTGTATCCAAAAAGTTGAAATGGTTGGAGATAGTGCTGAGAGTGGCTGGGTTAAAACTCAACCAATAAAATGTGACCTGTTCAGAACCAGTGTAATGTACTTGTTTCGTATAGTGCCGATAACAATACGTGTCGGGATTTACATGTGACTGGGATAGAGAATGTGAAAGTGCTTGCCACGAATTAAAGTGTGTGATGTCTACTACAGTGTTATTATATTGTATCTACATGGCAAAAAGGGAATATGTGTTCAATGTGTAAAACCGGAATAGGAACTGTCTTATCACAGACTAAGATGGAAAGGAAATGGTGATTGCATATGGCAACAGGTCGTTAAGAAAAAAGGAATGGAATTATTGTGCCACAAGGAAGAATTTATTGGCGGATTTCGTTAGATATTGTATGGTAGAAGATTCACAATCAGGACTGGTTATGCAGCTTTAATGTTTCAAGTGTTCAAATGAAGTTATTAAAGGTAGTGAACAGAATGCTGACAGGTTGTCAAGAAAACCATATTGACATTTGGTTGACAGGTGAAACATAGCACTGAGATTTCCAAGACTGGAGAGTATAGCATGAACTACTCCCATATATATATGACGGATACAGAAAAAGGTGAAACCAGAATTGAAGAAACCAGAATAGTGAACACTGAAATAGTAGTCATTAAAATGGAGATCAAGGTACGGCCATCAGGATTATAGTGTGACAGAAAACTGATGCAGAAATCAGGCGACTAAAGAGTCCAATGATGAAGATTTGCAGACTTTGCAGGCATGACTACGTAGCTTCAGGTCACATTGGTATCACAAACACTGTGGAGAGAGAAATTGACACGATTTAACAACCGATGTGCTGTGGTATCAGCAGTGTACACTGTGTGCAAAACATGTTTTTTTTAGTCAGAGGAAAGAGCATGAGAGAGCAATAGGATCATTACCTGAGACTCTTAGGAGGAAAAATTATCCTCTTGTTGGCGAGTATATTACAAAATAGATAAAGGCATATAGTAGCATACACATCAGTGTAGTAAGTAACCCTTGAATCATATATATTTGCAGAAACGTGTCAATTGCAGGAAAAAGATACATTGTAATCCTAAGAGCAATAGTTATATATAAAGATACAATTAGTCAGGATAGATCTGTCTGACTAGAATTTACATATTCCCCTGGTGAGAATGTCTTCTAGAAAAAAAAACGTTCCAAGAATCTACCTTGTTTACTCCAAATTTGCTGATGCTGGGAAGATACATTACACTCATAGGCGTGATGATTGAGAGTAGGATGACTGAAAGAGAAGAATTATTAACAGACTATGCAGAAAAGCCGACAAATCATTTGCAGTGGTTATATGAGAGAGCCAGAGTAGTTCAAATACCACGTGCTGGAAAGCAGTTTGATTGTTTTATGTCAAACAGAGAGAAGTTAACACTATTAAACTTAGCTTCCAAAAAATGGTAGATGATGCAGAGCGAGAAACATCAAGAACACGGAAAATTTCCGTGAACCAGAACGATATGTAGCTGCTAATTGTGACCGGGCAGTAAACATGAGAACCAAGATGGCCACATGCTGAAAAAAACATATACATCCCGTCATTAGCAATGGGTTTATATACCTTTATCAGGCTCTGTAGTTAATGTACACAACCTTTGTATATTGCCTTGTCCTTTGTGCTGACACTCCATGTACACGGGCACCAGTTTAAGTTGTAGTCCCGTTCTGTATTGACGTCACAGTAAAAATTATACACAAAAACAACAGCAAAAGTAAAACGAATAATATTACATATAACAAACAAACTCATCAACCATTATAACCAGAACAATAACAAAATGCTGCAAGCTAAAGTGGTACACACCCCAAAATGTTCTTGATAAAAACCACAATGGATTGCCAATAAGTACAAGCTTAGTTATATTCTGGATACAAACAAAATGCATGAAGTCACAAACAATGCCAACAAATTTAAGGCGGGGGAGTCGTCACCTGTGCATGCGTCAGATGGCAATAGCGTGTCATTCTTTACAAACAAGCGTCTACCCATGAGCCTGTGTATTTTTAGCGTGTGTTGTTATCGTCGCTTGGGACTCAATTCTCACGCATGCGCAGGTGACGACCCTCCTGCTTTAATATTCAGACAAAAAGAACAACAACAACAAAAGATAATTGCAGTAATCTTAAAAATCTTTCTAGAAACAAAAAAAAAAACTGCCAGCAAGCATCTTTCGATCTGGATAATGTGAATAGTCTTGCCAAAAACACTGAGCTTGATACAGAATAATTGGCAAAGACCTTGCCAGCAAACCATCTTTGCATAATTGTCGTTACTATATATTCCCCCATCAGTTCGTCATTGTTTGACGTGATTTCCTGTGAAGTCGTCTGTTTAGTACAATTGTCAGCATATCATTCCTGCATATTGCACTACGCGACTTGCTTGTTTACACGATTATAATTTAAGTTCCTTTGATTCTACATCATCTTGTTTCCCCTCAAAGATTGTTTATTAACTTGAAGCGATTTCAATTTACCTTGTTACTCGCTATTCACACTTTTCAATATGCAGCTTAAGCACACCCTTGATATGCAGTTCTCTAAGAATCTGAAACTCGCACGGCATGTTATGTAGTTTTAATGCCTCCTTCCAATTACTGTCCTCGGTATAGTGGTATGGTACATAGTTGCCCTCTTTATCAGTATCAAATGGCCAGAATCCAAACAGGTTAAGCTCATCACAGCGTGTAAGCGCCAGGCTGACCAACAGCAATCCTAAACAAATCAAAAGTTTAATAGACAATAGACTAACCAATTCTTGAAAAACCTAAACAATCCAAAATTTGCGAAAGACTATAAACATATATATATGTTTTTTAAACTTGTGATTCAATCCTTATTATATCCACATAAGTAAAGTCTGTAATCATGTCTTGATAATTTGTCAACAATTGAAAACTAACCTGTAGTTACCCTTTTATTGCACAACCAAAATGTTTCAACTGCAAATAAGTAATTCAATTCAACTTCCAAGTCAGATAACGTAGTATTCTCTATTACATATGATAAAAATGAACGTTTTGCTCCTTTTATTGTCTCAGTCCGAGAAAACAATATAAGACCTTGATATGCATCGAGATCCTCCTTAAATCCGGATAAATTGTTGTGGTACCTATTCAAATAAATGACATATGCCTATTGTTTGTCAATTTGTTTTTGTTTTCATGCAAGTTGATTCAATATTGGTGAAATTATGATGATGTCAAACCTGTTACTAATTATGCTTGGATTAAAACTGCTCAAGTTTGTCTTCTTTCCAGCATCGTCCGTGAAATTACGAATTGAAGGTAGATTAGCCCTGCAAACAAAATATCGCATCAATGTATTGTTTTACGTAGACATAACGTGTTTAAATAGTCATCAACTGTTTGCGTACAACAACTCTTGTTATAAAACTTCAGTGAAAGTTTGAAACAATCTTGAACCAAATGGTCATTACTACTTATTATTCGTTGCCCCTAGTACACAGTGAAACATTCACAAAGAATGTCATATACCATAATGTCAGGATCACAACTGACATTGAATGATACTATAACGAATATGTAGAGGCATATGCGTCATCTAATATATAGAGGATATCTCATCAGTGACTCTACAATATATATTGTAGGATAACGAACTGAATATCCTGTTTATTCGATTATTCAATTTGCAGCTTCTAAGTGCTAAACCCCAACAGAGAAATCGTTAGTTTGTGGGCGCGTTTTCAAAGCACGGTAGAACTTTCTGGCTGATTAGTTTTTCTTGGTCTTCATAATTTTGTTATACGACTGGTTTAAATATCTATGGTTGGGTATGTCATTACCTTTTGTATTGTCGTAGGTGAATGACGATTATCATTAGTTTAGCCTATTGCGACATATGGTTATTTGGAGGGGGGGGGGGGTCATCAATCTATTTTCTGTTTGGGGATGCCTAATGGCCCCGTCACACCATAACGTTTTGGTCAGCGTTCTCTGAACGTTTCAATCGTACAATTTCCAAGCGTTCTGGAACGAGGTAGACACATCCAGCGTTCGATTAACGAGTGCCTAAACGTATGACTAGCGTGTTCCTAACGCACGAGGAGCATGTAATGAGCGACCAAGTAAGATACCCCTGGAAATCATTTACGTGTGCTAACGTGTCACTAGCGCGCGACGAACGACTGTTAAACGTTAAGTGAGCGTGTTGAGCGTGTATCTAACGTTAGGTCGTTAATTTGACGTTAGTCGGACGATTTAGTGCGCTAGGGGTACGTTCAGCGGTCGTTGACAGTTCGCTAGTGAGTTGTTCACTGCAAAGCGAGCGATTGGTAACAACTAAGTAACGCTAGAGCAACGACTGACTAACGATTGTCGAACGTTAGCAAAACGATCGAAGAATGTTATTTAACGTTTAACAGCGTTTAAAAATAAACGTTGAAGAACGCTGGTCTCAAATGAGAACTTTTGTGCATGTTCAAAACTTTTTTTTGGACCAGCGTTCTCCGCCGATTCCCGACGATCAGCAACGATTACCGACGTTCACTAGCGTTCTCACGGCGTTCTTCTGGCGCTGTCCCAGCGAGTTTGGGAGATTAACAACGTTTCCTCAAACGCCAGAGAACGCTAGCCAGAACGTCATGGTGTGACTGAGTCTTTAGTAACATAATTACTAATTTTGGAGCCGAATAGCCCCTAAGACTTTTAAAATGTATGGGCGAAGAAGTTCGAAGTTGGGAGAATTTGGAATTAATACACCTTTAATAATATTGTGTAAAACTACCAATATCTCGAAATACTTACCCTTTTTCGCCATAGTCAGTCATAATTCCAAAAAGTAAATTTGCTTAAAACGGTAAAATTAGATTACCGAGATTTGTTATACATAGAGTGGAACATTGTACAACTGCTTTATAATACTGCCATAATATATGGGATATGTATATTCAAGGTTGATGATTTGTCCGGGGTTCCTTGAGTTACCGCAAGATAAAAAAAAGTAACTTATATATTATGCTGATTGTTCATACATGATAGCACAACATATCAATTGATAGAATATGCACAATACTTATAAATCCCACAGTATTTACGTTTCTCAGTTACCTGAAGACATAGTCGGCTTTGTCGATTTCTGCTCCACATCTACTGTTTTTGAGAATACCTCCATTTCCAACAACACTACATAGTTTGTAATGCATTTTGTCTTTGTTCTAAAAATAAAATGAATGATAATAAATTAAATGTCACAATTGATTCAAATTCTACATACATGGATCATATATCACCTAATTATTAATTAGTATGTTATGTTAATTGTTTTAGAGAATATGACATTCAATTTGATGATCTGACTTGTTGGGTTCTCTGGGAAATGTGTCAGATAGGATGTTTGGAAGTCCAACAATGAATATCTGTTCTAAGGATTTCACTTGACTTTTTGTTGTGTTCAATCATTAGTTACATTAGCATAACAATGTTCGAAAGGGGGCAATACTATAGACTGCTTGCGACATCTCGGTTATCATATCTGAGAATGTATTTCTGATTTGAGCACTCTAATCATAATATTTTCAGCTGATCCAAACAAAAAATAAGTACAAGAAAAATTACCAGAAAATAATATGCCGGGATTGTAATGCAAGAGTTATCAGTGGACGCAAATACAAATGCGCTTGTCGTATGGTGGGTGTATTAATCAATTGGTACTGGAAAATGTATTATAACAATAAATACGTTTAAGTGTGTATCAGCCTATTTCATCGCAAACGGATTGGCGGAAAGGGGGACAGTTCCCCCAAGTCCTCCAAGACCGAACTTTGGATGTCCCAATGCATGCAATGTGCACACACTGACGCAATGATAACGGACAGTCCAGTAGGACTGATCAGTAATCATCATCATTACGTTGGCGGACTTTGCAAAGCCTTATGTGAATTGACTAGAGCATCAAAGCTAGGTTGGCAGGACTAAAAATAGAGGAACTTTTGCATGAGCACGTATATTAAAACTGTGTCATGATGAATGAATCCTCCTGTGTAAAAATCGACACTCAAAACTCAGAGATTCCAGCCTATGCTAGGATATCTTTAATATTTAAACGAACAACCAGAGCCACATTTTAGGATTTATACACATATAAACTGTTACTATGACCTTTGATCTGAAAATGTGGGTAGTGGGATTATCATATGTGCCAAGTTTGAAATTTCTAGCTATTATCCTTTGTAGCAGAATTCTGAACATGCTTAAACACATACTGCGCCTGCGTGTTGTGAAGGTCTTGTGAATTACATAGAGAATATATGTGCCAATGTTGATGGCATTTGCTATTTGTCCCCCATGAAGTTATATTACATAGTACGAATATATACTGTGACCCTGAAATTTGTCATGTGGCTTAAATGAGGCACATGTGTTACAAGTTAAAAATTCCTAGCTATCCCTCCTTGGAGCTCAATACTGAACATACATAAATACGTACTATGACCTTGACCTCTCCCCGAAAATGCGCCCAGGTGAGTCGCACGTAGAACACGTTTTCCAGTTCTGAAGGCCCTGACTATGTAATTATTGTATAGAGTACATTCTGTGATTCCCTAACTATGGGGATTTACCTGGCCAGTAAACCCACTAGTCCAATCCAATGATTTACATTGAAATTTGGTAAGGTGAGGTAAGAATGACTTAACTATGTCAAATCCAATTTATGAAGTTATTGTCATACTAATAATTGATGACAAGCAGCCTGATATTCTCATATTACTGTGATAAATTCGACACTGTCATATGGTTTGGTTTTCTCTGCGTAATGTACGAACACGCATAAATTGACGTGTAACTTGCATATTGTTACAATTACTGTACCGATTAGCAATAATATTTTATGTTAAACGTCACAATTATATGCACTATATGAACTATATGCACCATGGTCAGGTGGTAAAATGTATAACTTACATGCTCAATTATTTTGAAATCAGTTATATACTTTCAACATTATCCTTTATTCTATATCTAATTGACCCTAGCAGTTTTACAAGTTTAGTAACATTACAATTTATTGTCGCTTGGAGGACAACAATGTTTGACGTATTTGTTTTTTTGATCGTGTATATATTGTACCAATTACAATATACAGATTCATTATACTTTGACTAATAATATACTTACTGCAGCATATTCAAGGAAATTACGGTATCGCCACTCAGCTGAAAAATTGTATCTAAGTAAATGTTGGTATAGTTTAAACCTGTAATGTAAATGCGTATACAAGTCAGGCACACAATGACACTTTATTCAAAAAATTGGTGCTATGTTTATTTAAAAATAATCCACATATGAGAGATTATTATATTCAGCAATATATTCTAGTAACACTATTAGACATTGTCGTAAACATATATAAAATATTCTTACCTAGTTTCATAAAGACGCGTTCTATTGAATCTCCAATTTTCGACATTCATACTTGAATCAACAATTATCTTATTTTTGCTAATAAAAGAATATATGATACGTTGGCATAAAAGTCAAAGCAAAAGCTTGAGCGTGATATCAATCAAATTAACAAAACAATATTTATTGAATTTCACTAAGCATTTAAAGTAGTAGCAATAGTTTATGTTATCTTAGCATTTGGTCCGTTCATTAACATTGATTTAATCTAAATACGCGTGTGTTCATTGTATCTTGTTTCTTTCGCAAATATTTGAACATTATATATTTCATAAGCATAAACGTGATGGGCGGTGTAGTAAACACATAATGTAATTACAAACATAAATCATCTTACCGAGTGTCATGTAAACTAGTGCTGTTCATTGTCCAATATTCGGCATCTCTGATTGTATCTTCAAGTATGTATTTTCTGAAAATAAAAATAAATATTTTAACATCAAATAATCCTTTTTGTGCAAATTTGCCTTCAAGGCTGTCATATTGTTAACTTAGAGGAAGGAACATTTATTGATAAATTGAGTAGCACAGGGGAAATTCTTCTTCTCTGGGGGTTCTCCAACACGTGTCAGGGGGGAATTCTCGTCTCTGTCTCCATGTCTCGTCTGCTTGAGGTACCGGGCCGGGAATGTCACTTAAGCTTAACAGTCAGATAAGACACACACAACGAAATACGTTTCAATAGCCACATCGAGAACGCCTCGTCGGCGTCTCTCCCCAGCACTCCCCAAGACTCTCTCGCCTCGTGGAGTTCCCCCCCTCTCTCTCTGCGACCAAGGACTTAGACCGTTTATTACGTATCAAAACCTAACCAATTACAAAGCAGTTAAAAGACTCTAAGGCGTGGTCTTCAATCACACAGCCAATCACACCACGTACTGGACACGTCATATCTTTTGATTAATCGTTCACTATACTAATAAACCACAAATACCAACTGTCAGAAATAGTAGTCCAGATAGCGACGGTTATATCGTAATTAGTTCCAAATCACTGAGTCTAAATGATGACAGATGAGTCGGTCAACAGACACGCGAAAACTAATTCATGACATGGGTGTTGTTACCAGTCATAGATACACCATTGTCAAAATTACAGTCGTTCTCGTTTATTTTGAAAGGACTACCAAGCGTTACCTAACATTCAACTGTCTTGATGTTTTATTACTTTGGTATTGATGTGTTTTCAATACAACTACTAAACCCACAGTATGGTAATTACAATTATATTTGCGTATCAGCCGGATGCTTGTCCAATCTGAGTGCATTACGAATACCACGTGACCCATGACCCATTCTATTCAAAAGAACGGGGTTGATCTCATTCTAGATCGTCGTCGGCTAACCAAATGTATTTCCAGGCGGAGACATGGGGTTGTCACGTAGCAGCCAACTTATGTCAACGTGTTGTATTTTATCTATCGATTGAAACCTTCACAATAAATGACGTATATTATAACAACTATACTGTGTGCGCATAATTAATTCCCCTTACCAAACGCAAACACAAACCTAACTACTTTGTGACAGTGTGTTCAGTGTACATATTCAGTCCATTTGGCATCACATTATTCCTTCATAAGTGCAATGTCAAATAATTGACCCACTTATACCTCATACCAAATTCCACATATATACATACAATAATCTATTGTAAGAAATATAAATGAGCTGTCAAATAAAATTTGAAACATAGGGGCACAAGTTTCCATCATACAAAAAATGACCCAGCTTCAGGGTCAGCCAAGCGTTTAAATGGTTGTATGTTAAACTGGCAAAAAACAATTTTTGGAATACCCGCTAGTTTCAATAAGTCGCTACAAATATATAGTATAGTAGTTTGATATGATTTTACCCCACTTACAACAAGACTTGTGCGAAACATTTCAGTATTCTAGAATTTCTTGCTGACAACATCTTTGTCGATTTTGAAGGATATATTCACGAAAGACACAATTATTGGTTCACAATTATTTTTTCGGGATCAACAAAATATATGCAAAGCCGAGACCGCCTAACAAACAAAACAGAAGAATAAAATGCGCATTTCCATAACCATTAATCAAACGCCCGTAGTAACCAACCACAAAACAACATATAATTACCACTATACTAAATATAAAGAGACATGTTGACACCTGACATGAGTTCTTTTTTATTATATGAGGTTGAACGCGAAGCGTAGCAAATGAATGTTCGTCGCAGGCCTCGGTAATCTAAACAGAATTTTGTAGATGAACGCATGGATCCCATTGCAGAGTTGTCATCCAGTTGTCAGTGGGAGGTCACTCTATATTAAAAACTTACACCATGTGCGTTCTTGCTAAAAAAATAATAGGCGCCTAGGGCTGGCAGCACATTGGCAAACCATACCCCCTATTGCGGACGCAATGTAAATTTAATACCCTCTAGAGCAGACATATTGAAGAAAAAAACACCCCCTATTTCAGACACATATTGAGAACATCCTACCCCATATTGCGAGCATTCTCTGCCGTTTTTCACTGAATACAGTTCAATTTGTATTATGTGTGTTATCCTGTTTCGTTTCGTTTCTTCGATTACAATATTAAGCCTTCCCCGTATGCTCGTGTTGGAAGTGGCGGGTAAGTCCCAATGGGAAAGTTCAGACGGAAGTTTGCGGTCTAGTCGGGGCTATGGGTCCGCCAATTCGAGGCCTAGGGCGGTGTATGGGAGTGGTTGTTGCAAGAGCGGGCCTACAGCGGGCGCAGTAACCCTGTGAGTTTATTTTCTAGGGGCCTATTGCAGACATTAGCATTTTAAAGGGGGACCAATTAGCCTCCCGCGCGGGCCCGCTCTGGAAGGTGAAAAATACCCCGCTTTCCCGCTAAATTTGGAACGCACATGGGGTAGTAACAGCATATAGAGTGAACCCCCCGGGCATCCATTACGATTGCAGTGTAATGTCTCGTCGTTATTGTAAGTTAGTCAATGAGTTCCCAAAGAAAAACACTGCTCCACTCCAATTCAAGTTTGTTTGCAATTTCGTTCTACATGAAGTTTGCAAGAGTCGTTTTGCTGTTCTGCGTTAGGGTTACAAGTGTTCTCGACCACTCAGTAAAACCGGCAAGTAACCGGCTATGTTAAAACGATGTAAATATAAACCGAATATACTGTATGTTTACATGTTCTACTCGACGATGATAAGCATGTAGTAGAAGTGTTTTTTTTCCACATTCACTATAGGAATATATAAAGCATGCATTCAACTAGAAAAACAGAGACATTATTGTCTAGCATGTTGATACATGATACAGTGTGTTTTATGTTCTTTGTGATTTTATAAGTATTTGTGGTTAGTCTCGAAAGTTGGAGAGTTGATCTCGACTCCCAGCTGCTTCACGACGGTGATTTTTTGGCATAGGTATTTTCTAATAGCTGCTAATAAAATTTGGCAAAGATAGTTTGACTTTAGAAAATACGACACAACTCTCCCCTTTGTGAATTCTGACACGGGGTATCATATTTCAAAACAACGTTGATGACGCTTTTAAAAAAAAGTGTTATGAGGTCAAAATCTAGGTCACGCAACAGTAGACTTCTTCAAGTTTACACCTCTCCCGGACATCATTCATTGGAACCGAATGTCCTGCGTCTCGCCTCAGATGGCTGATCACTGCATGTTCTATTCACGTGAATCACAACCTCTTTGCCATGTTTTTCAATTCTATTACTGCAGTTGATAATCAAATTGAATTCAAACCTTTTATAGTATTTCTAAGTACCGCGAACATAATTTCTGTGGTCTCATTTCGGTTTCTTCGATAATAACACTTTTCCATTTGCACAGTGATCACGTCGAGGTCA